AGCTCTCCTCTGAGCCTGGCTCCTAGGGGACAGAATTTATGTCTTTTTGTCTCTGGGCCTGGCACATAAAAAGCCTCGGAAAATGCTTGTTGAACGGAATTGAAGTTTCCAACCTGAAGATTTTGAATTCTGTTGCATAAACCTGGTGTAACTGATCATGTAACTCATCATTTGATGTTGGCAGCCTCAGGTTTGAATCCTATCTTTGTGCTTTATTTGGTGCCTTTGGGCCCGTCACTGGGCAGCTGGCATTCTAACAGCGAGAGGAAGGCACAAGCCACAGCCCTGTCCAAGGTGCTGAAGGTGCAGTCATGAATGCAACCCCTCCACGAGGGAAAAGGCTGCAAGCTGGACAGAGCCTCACTGGGGGCTGGGGCAGAGGGCACCGTGCAATGCCCTGAGAGCAATGAGTGTGCGTCCTAAATTCTGTCTGGGCAGTCAGGAGAGCCTCTGAGGCTCGACCTGCTTCTCTTGGGGTTCTGAGGGCTCAGGTGAGCTGGGGCACGGATGGGAGATGGTTTTTCTGCATTCATACAGGGGCTGTGGGTTGGCTGTCTGTACAGCACACAACCCATCCCCTGAAGGGATCCTCTCTAAGATCCCTTTTCTTATTTGGCTTAAGCAGTACCTCCTCTCCCCCCAGCCTGGTTCCCCTTGAGAAATGCACAGCACAGGAGAGGGAGCCCAGATGATGTTAGACTCCTATCACCAAAATGTGAGTTTACTATAGAATTATAGACTCACAAACGTCTTATATTTTAATAATAACATTTTTGTGAGTGAATAAGTTACACATATATATGATTTAAAAATGTGAAGAGTAAAGGGAATTCCCTGGTGGTCCAGTGGTTGGGACTCAGCGCTTTCACTGCTGAGGGCCCGGGTTTGATCCCTGATTGGGGAGCTAAGATCCCACAAGCCATGTGGCATGGCCAAAAAAAAAGTGAAGAGTATAAAGGGTACAGTGTGAAAAGATTTCTCATCACTAATCCTGCTACCCTTCCTAGAGGCTGCCACTTGAGTGTTCTTTAAGAAAATTCCACACATAAAGTACCCCTGTCCCTCATAAATAGTATAAGTGTTCTGCTTGCCTTCTTCTTTAATAATATATCTTGGCAATATACACAGAGAACCAGCTCTTTCTTTTTAAAGGCTACTTGGCACATTACACGTTAGTAAGACACTTATTTAGCCAAGACTCTCTGGATGGACTTCTAGGTTGTTTCCAAACTTTGATTAATGCAAACACTGCTTCGATGAACTCTTTGTCCCTCATCTTTGCATGTGGACAAGGAAATTCCTAAAAGCGGGACTGCCGAGTCAAAGAGTACGTGCATTTAAAATTCTGATAGCCATTGTTGGTTTATTCATTTTATTATATGGATGGACCATAGTTCATTTAACCGGTCCATCCCTCCCTCCCTCCCCAACCCATACTCCTGCTTTCTTTTTAATTCCATATTTACTTTTAGGAAGTAGTTAACATTTCATGACTTTTGATGTACCATTTGTTCAGTATTGTTCACTAGAATTTCTCTTTTGGAGGGGAGCAAGAGGGTGTTTCAGTCTCTTCTGGATGGATGTTTAAGTCCTATGATTAGGTTACTTCCTATCTTTTGCTTCCAGTCTCTTGAGATGTTCATGTAAAGCATTAGGCATAATGCCTGATACATACTGGGCATTTAGTATTTGTGAGTTTCTATAAATCAGGAACAACCTCGCAGTGACTTGCCTGTGCATGTACTCCTTTGTGCACGTGTGAGTATTAAATTCTTAGAGGCAGAATTGCTGGTCAAAAGGTGTGTACATTTAAATTTAGGAGATATGGCCAAACTGACCTCCAGGGAGCTTGTACCAACTTACATACCCGTTTCCCCCAGTACTTGCCAACACTTTATTATCCAATCACAGTTTAGGAGATGGTGCAATTTTGGAGACCAACAGTTTTAAATCCTAGCAGACAGGGAAACTGAGACCCTGGGGAGGAGGAGGGACTGCCCAAGGTCACCTGTGAACTGTGGCACAGTTAGATTCCCATTTCTGGCCTCTCCGTCCTCTTCTAGGGGATGGAGCAGTGCCCAGGGTGGAATGTGTGAGAGTACCAGGTGGGGTCCATGAGGTAAGAAAGGATGTGAAAATGGGGTGGAGAGGAGGTGGGGTGCACCAAGGTCTGGGTCCACTGCACACCTCTGCCTTGGGGAATGTAACATGTTTTATTTCTTGTTATTTTATTATTATTATTTTTTGGCTGTGCGGTGAGGCACGCGGGATCTTAGTTCCCTGACCCCGGATTGAACCCGTGGCCCCTGCGGTGGAAGCGTGGAGTCTCAACCACTGGACCGCCAGGGAAGTCCCATGTTTTATTTCTTGAAGAAACTTCTGACTCTTCTCCGTTACTTCTCCTTATCTCCACCCTCACCCTACCCCCCAGCATCTTTTCCCTTGGAAACAGCCTCAGAGATTCTGAAAGGAGTTTTCCTTACTTCAGAGCCTGCCTGTGTGGGAGGAAGCTGAGGACGTGAGGGTACTGACTGAGAGAGCAGGTTGAGACCCAGGAGCCGTTGTGCGAAAAGAATGGAAAATTATATAAGGAGAGAAAACGGAAGGGGGTGGTGGAGGCAGCCATTCATCAGTGCTTTTTAACCCTTTCCTGCTGCAAAAGCGGGCAGCCCAGATGCTGGGAGATGGCTGCAGTGAGAGACGTTTTCATAAATGGCTTATGCCTAAGGCTTTGAAGGGTGGTGGGCACCACTCCCTCCTAGCCCTTAGCAGGCGGGTTTTGTACTCTGGGTAGAAGTGTCAGAAAAGAACAGCTCCTAATCTAGGAGGTGATTCCTCTGGGAAATCAGGCTGCTTTTCAAGTGTAATTTGAAAAGTCGCTGCCTCCAAACTTCATTGGGGGTGGGGGAGGCAGGGGGGCAGAGGGAAGAATGCCATTTATAAAGCAATTAGTGCTTCGACAGAGGCAGCCATCACTCAGAATTATTTTCTGAAATTTGGCCTCTCTTCCTTACTCTGGAGGAAAGGCAACATGGGCACTTTGCTTCCAGTCAAGCCCGACACAGAGGCTGGGGTAAGTCACACAAAGGGAGAGGAACCCTGCCCTGTTCATCAGAGCTGGAGCTGCGGAAAATCATTTCTGGGCTTCTCAACTCTTCCAAATGAGCTGGAGGAAGCCTCATCAGAGGTTCCATTCATCTCACTTCTTACTTTTAAACTTTAAAGCACATATTTATGTGCCTCAAGTTGCCCATGAACTATGGCGTGTCAAACAGTTTGGGGTTGATGGAAGAGGTACATTTTCTCGTCCTGGGACTTTCAGAAACGCAATTTCATCACCAGGCTCTCTCCCTTCCAATTTCTCCTGTACGCTGCCACGAGATGCACATTCTGCAAACGCTTTCAGTGCATTACTCACCCGTTCAAGAACCGTCCAAGACCTCCCCTCTTGATCTCTTAAGTCTGGGAACCCCAGGTTGACAGTCAAGGCCCTTCGTACATGTGGCCTCAGTGACCACAACCTTCTCACACCCACCATCCCTAGACCACCAAGCCACCCTTGTCACTCGCCACAAATATGGGGTGGTGAATGCCTGTCATTTTGGCCCCTCTGCACCCTGCAACACTTCTCCTGGTAACCGAATGCAGGGCTTCCTTTTGGGGGAAAGCACCGCACCCCAGTTCCCTCTCCATATGGTTTGGGTGAGCTGACCTGACACCTGCCTCCAGGCCTGCTCATGAGAATGTAGATCTGGGCTTGGCAAACTAAGGTCCCAGGGCCAAAAAAAAAAAAAAAAAAAAAAGGCCCCCAGCCTCTTTTTTTTTTTTTTTCTTTTGCGGTACGCGGGCCTCTCACTGTTGTGGCCTCTCCCGTTGCGGAGCACAGGCTCCGGACGCACGGGCTCAGCGACCATGGCTCACGGGCCCAGCCGCTGCGAGGCATGTGGGATCTTCCTGGACCGGGGCACGAACCCGTGTCCCCTGCATCAGCAGGCAGACTCTCAACCACTGCGCCACCAGGGAAGCCCTCCCCAGCCTCTTTTGAAAGACTCCTGAGCTAATAATTTTTACATCTGTAAAAGGTTGTAAAAAAAAAAATCAAAGAAGATGCCATAGAGAACCTATGCCCACAAAACCTAAAATATTTGCCATCTGGCCCTTTACAGAGAAAGTTTGCCGACACCTGCTTGAATGCACAATGCTTGGTTTGGTTTGGGGCGGGGCGACGGAGGGGCTGAGCTCAGGAGAGCAAGTCCCAGGACTTGAGCTGGAGCTCAAGTCAGAGGGACGTGCACACTCTCCTAACTTTGTTCAGCAGAAAGAACATAAGTCTGGAACTACTGGTGGCCATCTTTGACACTTTACAGAAAGAGGCTGCTGGAGAAGGAAGGCAACACTGGGGGAAGCAGAATCAAAAGACAGACTGGCTGTGGGACCTGGAGCCAGCTGGGCTGGCTGGTCATGCGAGCCCAGACATTTCTTTCAACTCAAGCCAGTTTGAGTTGGGTCTCCTGTCAGCTGCAAGGGAAGGAGTTATGATGAGTACAGATACTGGCAGGTATGGACGATGCATTTGGGCATGTTATTACCTTGTCTGGAATGCCCTTTATCCTCTCTGCCTGCCAAAGAGTCTGCTTGTCTTGCCAGGATCTTTTTTTATTTATTTTTTTAGCTTATTTATTTAATTTTATTTTTGGCTGCGCTGAGTCTTCATTGCTGCGCGCAGGCTTTTCTCTGGTTGCAGTGAGCGCGGGCTACTCTCGTTGCCGTGCACGGGCTTCTCATTGCGGTGGGTTCTCTTGTTGTGGAGTACAGACTCTAGGCGCGCGGGTTCCAGTAGTTGTGGCATGTGCGCTCAGTAGTTGTGGCTCACAGGTTCTAGAGCACAGGCTCAGTAGCTGTGGCACACGGGCTTAGTTGCTCCAGGGCATGTGGGATCTTCCCGGACCAGGGCTCAAACCCGTGTCCCCTGCATTGGCAGGCGGATTCTTAACCACTGCGCGACCAGGGAAGCCCTCTTGCCAGAATTTTATCCACGCCCCGGCCCCCCGCCCCCGCTGTGGTCCTCTGTAGTTCCTGGGTAGCTCATTCTGAGACATAACCATCTATTTCCTCAGCTATAATTGTCTTGGAAGAGTAGGTATTGCATCCCTAACAAAGCCACAAGCAATGGGGTGGGGATAGGGGGAAGGAAAGCATGTTGTCGAGCCCTGGGCACTAGCTAAACACCATAAACACTACAGCACTTATTCCCCCTGAAGCAACCGTCAAAAGAGGGGGAGGCAGCAGCTCCATTTTAGAGATGGGAAAATGAAGTGAAGTGACTCACCGAGGTCACGCAGTTACTAAGAGGCAGAGTCAGAAATCAACCCCAGCTCTGATGAACTCTACATCCATGTTCTCTCCACAGTATGGTGCCCCCTGAGGGCCACATCCAGCTCTTCTCGGGATCCCTTGGATCCAGCTCTACACCTCCCTGAATCCTCCAGGAGCCTCCACTGCCTGCAGATCAGACCTCAAACATCTCATCCTGAAATGCAAAGCCTTTCAGTATCTGCCGATTAATCCCTTCCCCACCCGTCTCCAGCCACACTGATACTCAGAGTACTCAGGGTGCACCCGGAATGAGAGAAGAAACCCTCACTGCACCAGCAAGTTTTAACAGGGGAAACGATCACTTTGCAAAGCCTTCGTTAACAAAGACTAGATTGAGTCAGCTGGACAGCTTCAAAATTAAAGTTGCCTGAATATAATAATAACCGGAGAGGCACTCTAATTAGTTTTTGTTTTTTGTTTTTTAATCAAGTGCAACAATCTGCCTGCAGTAATCTGAGAGTGACTCGGGATGTCTTAACTCTTTGAGGAAGAGGTGGGTTTTTGGAACATCACGGCAAGTCCTCCCACGCAGATGATCTCCTGGAGGGCTTCCCCAGAGCGAGAGTTTTGTTACAGCACAGGGTGGGTGTGCATGTTCCCCCCCCCCCCCCCCACTTCTCAGCACACCATCACGGCCTGCCACACCTAGGGACCTGGGGAAGGAAGGCAGGCTGCTTTAATCTCCCTGGGAGCTAGGTCATGCTCGACAAGTCACGCCACCTCTCTGACCTGTTTTTTCATTTGTCAGGACCTAGAGATTGAATTAGCCTATCACTTTGTGTCCCCAGTGGAATTAGGAACAATGCTCTGTGAATCCTTCTACAATCCCCTCAATTAGAGGGCATTTCTCAAAGGAAATCATCCCAGAATTTTAAAACTGGAAGAGAGTTAAGTGGTTCTCTCTCAGGACTTCTTAACTTGGGAGTTCCTCTGGGGTCTGAGGTGAAGTCTCTGAAATTGTACCCAGAATTTTGGGAGGTCAGCTAAGCAGACCCAGCGGGAGGTGGAGATGGTGCGTGACTGTAGGCTTGGAGGATGCAGCGCCCTCCTGGGAGTGACAGGGGAGGAGGAATGTTTCGGGGGACTGGGTCCTCAGATCTCATCTGATTCCTGGAAGAGCGCAGAATCCTCAAAGCTTAAGAACTCTCTCTGTGGCCCATTCCCTCCACTTTACAGGTGGGAGAACTGAAGGCCAAAGGTGGGTGGTGATGACTCACTGACAGAGCCAGACCAGAAGCCAGCTGGACATCTCATTGTCCTTGCAGGGAAGGTCCTAAAAGGAAAGGAGTGGGGCCTCTCTGGAACTGGCTGGGGACCCTTGCTCCAATAAGTCCCCATGCCAACCATCTTGTTTTGTTTTGCTTTTTTAGAGTTTGGGGATTATCTATGTCACTGGAGGAATTATGTACATAGTGCCTCACCATGCATCTGGGGAGGAAGCATTCATCATTCTCGAATGTGCATCTTTCAGCATGGGTGAGTGAGTGTGTGCATGTGGCTGAGTACCTGAATTTACATAATCTGTGGGTTTTAAATCTCCCAGCTAGAAAAATCAAGTGTTTATCCTGCCTTTTCTACACAAACTCCCTCAAGGTTACCACGTGGTTGATGAAGGGACCAAGGCTCTAGCTACAAGCAAGCCGGCATGGCGGAGCTGGAACAGCGCTGCTCTGTAATCCCTAATGAACGAGAGGGTCCAGGTGAGGCTCACCAATGGCTGCCAACTTCACAAGAAGAGATCAGACATCATGTACCTCCTGACGGAAGTAAATAATACCACCCACGGCGGAGTGCAGCCAAAAAGCAAAAACAAAAAAAGCAAACCCGATCAAGCCTCTTGTTCTGCTTCCTCATTTACAGGAAACACAGGTGACAGGAGCAGCCCATGAAATGACCCCCCACGGGGATGCAATCAGTAAAGCCAGACTGTGGGAAATGCTGCAGAATAAATGACCTTGTTTCCTCAACAAAAAACTTCCCAGGAAAAGAAAAGAGAGGTGGAGGGAGAATCTATAAATTAAAACAGATTTATTAAGGGACATACCGATAATGGCAATGTACACACCTTATTTGCATCCTGATTCAAACACACAGGACCGTTGTTAAATGTTTTAGGTGTGATAATGCTATGCTGGCTGTACATTTGTTTTTAAAAAAAAAAGAAGTCTAGATATGACATCTGGAGTTTGCTTAAAAATAATCCAGGGGCCAGGTGTGGTGTGGAGGTAACTGGGAAGGTGCAGGATGAAGCAGGGCTGGCCACGTGCTGGTGACTGGGTGCAGCTGGGTTATGGGCACATGGGGCTTCAGAGTACCATTATCCCTGATGGAAAGTTAAAAAATACTTAAAAGGTATCCAAAAAAACTGGCATGACTATTTGCCTTTGGAGAGGGAAACTAGATGTCTGGGGAATGAGGATGGGGAGACTGAGTTTTCATTATTTTGTCCTGCTTGGATTTTATACCATGACTTTGTATTATCCATTCATGAACATAGACTCAGTTTTTTTCTTTTTTCTTTTTTTGGCCTTCCCTTGCGGCATGCGGCATCTTAGTTCCCTGACCGGGGATCAGACCCAGGCTCTCAGCAGTGACAGCGCACAGTCTTAACCACTGGACCACCAGGGAATTCCCCATAAACTCATTTTTAAAAAATCACCCAATTTAAATAACAAACTTCAAAGTGAGTTCTTGATCGTACTTTTCATCCAAGAAGTGCCTTTATTTCATTTTCTTCCAAAGAACAGGTAGGTTCTTATCTCCTTCCTTGAAGAGGGGGAGGTGTGTGAGTCCGTGCTGCAGGCCGGTGATCTGAAAACTCTCCAATGTGTGATACTTCCACGTGGTCCTCAGGCGGCCGAGGTCATACATGATGGGTAGTACAGGCCTCCGCCCCATGTATCCTCAAGCTCTTGGGTGTGGGTGGGTGCGTGGGGCGGCTTGAGAGGCAGCTAGGGCCGCAGAGATGGTAAGCTAAGGAGTTAAGCCCTTAGAGCTGCCAGACAATGTCATTTGAAAATACCAGGTATGAAAGAGAAGTAACAGTCAGCTGCTTTCCTTCAATCCAATTTCTAAGCAGTGTGATCGATCAATTTATAAATCGATTGGCTGTCTAATCCACCTTGGCAGTCTTCTCTGAGGCCGACGCCACCGCCCTCGGCCAGGGTGGGGTGGGCCCACATCCTCGGCAAGCTCCGCTGGGGACCTCCTCGGGCGCCTGCCTGACTCGGGGGCGGGGCGGGGTCACTGCAGCTCCTGGAGCAGGCGGAGAACGTTGGCTGTGTACGGGTTCTGCTGCCCAGTGGCCCCCCGTAGCTGCACCGGGTGCAGGCTGGGGTGGGGAGGTGTGAACTCCTGTGGGCAGTAAAGCTCGTTCAGGAGGAGCCAGGTGGAGTCGGGGTCTGCCTTCATCAGGTGGAGGAAAAGGCTGTGGAGAGGTGGAGAAGGGAGTGAGGGCACGAGGGAGGGCTGCTGGTCCTCCACCCCAGAGGCTGCTTAGCGGGCTCTTGGAGAAAACAATGATAATCGCATCACTCTGCACAGCAGAACAAAGCCCACTTTCGTGCCTAATACAGGGCCATTAGGACGGTCCCAAAGCCTAACAGAAAGAGAGGTAAAGAGCTTCATATCCGTTGACATAGAGAAAAGGAAAGTAGTTAGTCTGAGCAGAACAATATTGACATCAAACAAGCTCTTGGCAAAGAAACCGGTTAAATGCTGGGCTATAAAACAGTTCTCAGAAGGAATAAAATGGATAGGGCCCACCCCTTATTACAGAGTCCACTTCGCTCACAGGACCAGCCCCAGTGTAGGGACTCCCTCTCCTGCTTGGGGAGCCTGGGCAGACCCTCAACTCCTGAGTCTCAGGTCCTTATCTCTGACCCTCCAGCACGCTGCTGAACTCAGTAGTTGGCCCATTTCTGGCCCCTGAGAGCCATGGATTCTCCGTGGTCTGGATCCCATAGAGGGATCAGATGCAGTTATTCTCCCATGGCAGGATCGGCTGAGCCTGGCTCTGGGACCTTTAGCAGAGGCAGAGCACTGGTGCCCTATACACGACATGAACACAGCTGAAGGGCCGGGGCCACGCAGCACCAGACACCCACCACGGGTGAGGTTCTTTATCTTGGTCTGAACCGTGGGGTCACAACCCTTTGCCTCGTATCTGCTCACATCCCATTTCTGAACGATACCCAGGCCACTGTGCCGGGTAATCCAAGTGTAGACTTCCTATGCCTGGCTGACTCAGCGATTCGGAGTCTGGCTTTTCAATCTCGGGAAGGATGAGGCCCTCCCCTAGCTGGGCGGCTCTCTCTCAGCCACCCTGCCCATCTCAGCTCACGTATCACCCGTGCAGAGAGGGTGGCCTTCCTGACCATGTCACCTAGGTGGTTGCCCCTTATTTCTCTCTCTCAGGACACCCTCCCCAGCATTTATCAATTGCCTGTTTATTGACCATCTCCCATCTCCCTTCCTCACAGCACAAGCCCCTGAGGGCAGGGACCATGTCGGTTTGGTTCACTGCTGTATCTCAGGCACTTAGCACGGCACATGGTTAGCATTCAACCAATACTTGATTGAACAGGTTTCATGTTTAATAAGGGACTTATTATGCTGCACACTAATGATTTCAGATGGCATCCCTCTTTGAAGTAAGTTATATTCTGTAAAATGATCTAAAGGAGAGGTCAACTGCTCACTACCAAGGAAGAACCAAGGATGTTACTAACAGGAGTCACGTTACCGCAGATGTCACTAGCTGTATGGCTTGCCTCCGTCTCAGTTTCCTCATTTCTAAAACTGGGGATGTACTTCACCCAGGGTTCTGCTGGGGTTTAAACGAGAAAACACAGATCCAGCCCTACACAGGGCCTCCCACATGCGATCCCTGTCTACCAACTAACAGCGGATAGAATCTATTTGATGGATCACATTTTATTTTTGATGACCATTCCTAGGAGCCTCTCCCGTACTGCTGGGCATCAGACAGGAATGTAAATGCTTGCTGAACAGAGCTAAATTCTGTTTTTAATTTCGTTAATCTAAAAAGCCTATGCCGTCAGGGGATTTGGGTTTTACTTTGGTGAAACCAATTTTTTTTTTTTTTTTTTCCGGTACGCGGGCCTCTGACTGTTGTGGCCTCTCCCGTTGTGGAGCACAGGCTCCAGACACGCAGGCTCAGCGGCCATGGCTCACGGGCCCAGCCGCTCCGCAGCATGTGGAATCTTCCCAGACCGGGACACGAACCTGTGTCCCCTGCATCGGCAGGCGGACTCTCAACCACTGCACCACCAGGGAAGCCCCGGTGAAGCCACTTCTGCTTTCTTCCTTGGGTTTAACAGACATATGCTAAGGAGGCAAGGGAGACAGGTGGAGGGGGCGCTTTGACACACTTGCTGGCCTGTTTTGTGCCCGAACAATTTAAGTTTTCTTTACTTAGGATAATCTTGAATTTATAACCTCAGCGGTGGTTGCTGGAGAAGTGATTAGAATATTCTAATTCATCGTTTCCACTTCACCGCAGAAAGGAGATGGGGCCTGCGTGGGAGACAATTTTTGTTTAAAAACAAAAATATCTTTGATAATTAGAGTGGCAAGGGAAATTATGAAAAAAATGCACCAAAAATGGGAAGCAGATTTCTATTTACACGTGACACAGTTGACAGTTTTCCCTGGTGCCAAAGACTGTTAGAATGCAAATGGTTTCATTTGATTTTTTTTTTTTTCCCCTTCAAGAACTGGAACAAGCTGCAGCATGGGCGCACCCTCAGCTTCAAGGAGTATTTTGATCTGGGCGACACCCAGCAAAGTGGTGCCGTGGCCCAGTTCAGTCACAGCTCTGCTCTGACTTACACGGCATGGAAACGTCGCAGTGTTCATTTTTGGTCTCCTTTTTAACTTACTAAATGCGGGTGTTGTACTCGTTGGCAGGAAAGGAAAAGGCAGGAAGCCACTCTCTTTGCCCTTCGAGATCCCTAAATAAAATGCCAACAGGGAGGCAAAGGAAAAATCGTGTGCAACGTTCATCTTCTTTTGGTAAGCTAGAGCCATACTCTTGGAAGAATTATTCTGGGTCTCACTTCTGAGCTCTTAAAGAGGTAGAATCCCCAGAATGGCAGGTGGCAACGCAAGTTTCTTCTCCACCTCTGCGGCCGGGAGCAAATTATTTTGCCTTTGTGAACCTGTTTCCTCCTTCTCCAAAGGAAAATAATCACACCTACCCGACCCTCCTCACAGGTTTGTTCTGAGGCTCTAAGGAGATGAGGTGCAGGAAAACACTCTGAAGTGTATAATGAAAACACTGTTCCTTCCAGAGACTGTGTGTGTGTCTAAGGAATAATTATCACTACCAACCCTGGCAGCACTGCCATACCATGGAAAATTCTCAGATGCTCTGTAAAGGGCAGAACATTTGTCTTTTGTTTCCGTCATAATTTCCTTCATACTGACTTGATAGGGGTCCCAATTCTCAGCCACTGGGGTTGTAATTTTGTCCATTACTTTCAGGAAGAAACGAATGTAATATTCTTTGCCCTCTGCATGCCTGAGGTCGGGAGCAAATGCCGTGCCATGCAACCAGGTGGCTGGCAGGCATAGCTGTGCTCTTGCTTGGCAAAAGGCATGCAACCCGCTGAACTCTAAACACTGACAAATTCTGAACCTGGACCCCTGTTCACTTTGAGGCCCTGGGAGCTGAGCCTGAGACCCAGGAGGTCTTGTCTGAGTACTCAGCGGCCCAGTTTTCCCCCAAACTCCAGTATTGCTTTGTCCTGGGACCAGTTCCTGCCCTTTCTGAGCTGGCGAGAGGGGCTCCCAGACAATGAAGGGAAGAAGGCTGAAGACCTCGAAAGCATCCTTTTGCATAATCAAAAGACAAAAGACAAAGAGGAGACCTCTGCTTTGAAGTGATAGGAGTAACTGCCTGGAAAATGTTCCTAACACATCTTGAGACATGGCCGAGATGGCTGTTGAACATGCCAAGTGGCTGACTCCATCTTTTTTCAAACCCAAAGAGAAACACTTAAAAAAAATATATGTACACCATTTAACTCCTGAACAAAAATTTCTTTCTCTTTCCCCCAGGCCCGAATCAGTGGCTCCAGGGAGCCCAGTTATCAAGAGATTATCTGGTCCCCAGAGTTTCGGGAGCCACTCAGCTGTGCCTCCTGCCTCTGAGTGTCCTGAGGCGAGTGATTATCTCTCAATAACCTGTAGGGTCCTGTAGCTTAAATGATAACTTGACTTTAAAAAATTTAGAACTCGCTGTTAGGCAGTTTCTAAGCAACCTCTGTTTCCATGGCAAAGAAGCCTGGTGTTTATACTGATTTTTCACTTAAAATGCGGTTTTATTGAATTTCACTTCATGCAGGCAGCCATTTCCCTGCACTTCAGCCCTATCTACAATTGACGGGTATCAGTAAGTACCTAATAAACTCCAGACACCAAACCAACAGAAGGGACTCATTCCTTTATGATCTATATCAGGTGATCGGAGTGACAAAGCTGGGGGTGATGTCGCCTGGGGAGTTGGGAAATGTGCTGCTAGAATCTGGCTGGCCGGGTCTGGTTCCCTCTCTGCGTGGTTCACCAAATGTTTACTAGCACCTGGTCCAGCTCAGGCACTGCGTCAGGTGCGTGGGACACAAAGACGGATGGACAAAGGCTCTGGCCTCAGGGCTCCCTGTCTGGTGGGGAGGACAGACTGACCACAGAAGCCCATGATACAATGTGAAGAGGGCCAGGCTCAAGTCACAGGTGGGCCAGAGCCGGGGAAGGATTCCTGAGGTGGGGACATGGCAAGTCACTTCTCTGTACATCAATCAGATCAGTTCTAACCCCCTTCCAGCTCCAACACTCCCAGCAGTTCTCAAGCACAGGGGCTGGATCATGGGCCCTTTCACCCCAAATGCAGCAAAAAGACACCCCTCTGTTGAAGATGCAAATATTACAGAGTATGTCCTCACCATCTTGGGTTAGACGACACCTGCTCAAGGGGAGCTCTAGAAAACCTCTAGCCAATAGAGGCCCAGCAAAGCTAAATAAACTTAACTGAAATTCAGAGCTCCCAGCTCTCCTGGGTGACAGGCTATTCTTTCTCTGTCAATTACTTGCTTGAGGGATCTGCTGCTCCTTGTCTCTTTCTGGGTTTATAAGATGCTCTCATGAGCTGTCTGCGTAAATGCCGGCGGTAAAGGACTTGCGGCTTTGTGATGTTTATTTATTTATTTATTTCGGGGCATCTGAAGAAGTTATTCAGGGTGTCTCCTTAGGGACACGATACAGGCTATCTCTACGTGGGCACAACTAAACGCAATCGGAGGGTAAACTCACTTGTTGGAAAGCAGGCACACCTGCGAAGTTATTTTGGCTTCCCTGTTATTCCCCTTCTGGCAGAACAGCCTTCGCACTCTTTTTTTCTGTGGCCAT